AAATCAAGTGCAAAGTGGGCCTTGATGAATCCTCTGAGGTGCTGCCGCTGCCGTCTCGAACCTGCGGTCACAGTTTTGTTCCTTTAACAGTGCAAAACTGTCTTTTTCAGAAACACTTTCTATGCTGTGCACTCACACGTGCTCCCACAGAGAAAGGAGGCTATAGACAGGCTTCTGACTCTGAGACAGCAGAGCTAACACAAACTGTCAAACTGTATTAAACCACTCTTAATTTCACTCAAAGTAAACATTTAAAATGCTTTTAAAAGGCAGTTTTTGTGTATCTTTTGCTACTTTGTAACATGTGATCCAGGCGTTCTGGGATAATCTCTTTATGCACTTTCAGAGCATCTTGAGCCCAGCAGCTGAATCCTGCCGGCTCCTCACACTTGTCCCTTTGTGATTCATGCTGGATCCACCGTTTCAAACTGTGTCCGTTCATCTGGATGTGCAGATGAAGCCACAGGGAAGCAAATATAAAAAAGAATAATGATTTGAAATAATAAGATTTCCAGATCTCAGCATCATTTATAAAACGTCTTCTGTGCATTTTGGAAACTACGCTGGTTAATCTTTGGAAAACAGGAAACGTTGGAACGACCACTTCCTTTTACATATGTGTACATACGAGTCGTTTTCATCCGCTGTAATTGTTTTTAATATATTTTTCCATATAGGACAATAAGCCAGCTGATAAAAATTAAATCAATCATTTTGTTTTTGTGTCAGCACATGTTTGTTCAGCTTGTTTAAGGACATGTCTCTCTGTGTGCAGCTCCTTCGTCACAGGCACTGCGTGCTGCGAGAACTTCTCCCCTCTGCGCATCTGGGATGTTGAACGGTGAGTCAGGAAGCTCCTCGCTGTAACAGCAACATATCATTAAAGTATTGTTAGTCATACAACACATGCTTTGCTTTTTGTCATGTAAGTGTTTAAATAATTATCAGCTCAGCTAGAAACGTTTTGATGATGAGCAGAAGCAGCTTTGATCCACGTGACAGAAGTGCAACACGATGAGCTGTGTGCAGTGTTTGTGTACAACACAACGTACACAAGTTCAATCTTCTAAACCATCACGTGTTCCTGTCAAAGGTTACTCCTGAAATGAGAACAATAAGCATCTTTTATGTTATTGTAAGATGTGTAATGAGCTGGAATCAAAACTCCTCAACAGTCTGAATTTACCGGATCTCTGCCTGTTTCGTTTTTTGTTGATTTTCCATCTTACTAACAAATCTGCATCAGCTGGAAAACTCCATGGAGCAAGTCTGGAGCTTCGTCAGTCCAAAGTGAGGAAGCTTTGACATATCTGACCTGTCCCTGACGAGGCGTCTGTCAGTGAGCAGTGAGAACAGACTGACAGCGCACGACGACGCAGACTGTGTTTGTGCTGTTTGGTTTCTCCCGGCTGGAAACACTCCCCTGATATGAAATGAATTTGATTATTTAAAGAGAGATGACCCTTGAACAGCATTTATATATTTAAATGATATTGAAATGTTATGGCAGCAGCTTCCCAAAATGTTTGAACCTTAGAAAAAACCTATAAATAATTTCAAATATTCAGCCTTTAAATGACAGAAGGAGCTGACATCAGGCCGGACTTTAGGAACTGCAGAGACCAAGTGCAGAGGATGGAGGTGTAAGTGGTGAAGAACAGAGAGCCATGCTGTGCAGACACCAGAGCTTCAGAGTCCACGTGGACGTTCACTCCTCACACCTGACGTCCTCCTGTCGCCTCTGAGAGGGAGAAACACTGACAACAACAGATATTATCAGTGAACATGCAAAGAAGACACGAGTGTCAGGAATGGCATCAGGATCACACTACAGAGAAATACTTTGTTACTGTACTTAAGTAGGATTTTTCAGGTACTCGAGTATTTATTTTTCTGACACCTTTTTACTTTTAAATACCAGGATACACGTTTAATCCACGCATACATGAGATGTAAGAGGCAAAACCACATCATTTATTATCTATAATTTTATTATATATTTTCAGTTTTTCTATAGTTATATAATAATAAGTAGTCCGTGTCGGTGTAAGCCAATAGGAAGGAGCCAAATCGTTTGAAGTTACACTCCAGCAGGAAACCTTTCGTGGACGTTCCAACACGGCACAAAGAATAGAAATGCAATTTAAAGCATGATTAACTGTTAGTAAAATCACATATAAATAAACAGTTTTAACACTTTATCACTTTAGCCATAAACGACTGGATGTTGAGTCCTTTTATTCCAATTCTGGATAAAGATTAGCCGAGCGATCTCTGTTCGTCTGGACTGACTGAAAACTTCATCCAGGATGATTTTGCAGGCATCAAGACGGTTTCTGTGTTGTTTATTTATCTCATGTAAATTTCTTTATTTTACAGCTAAACATGGGTATACAGGCATTTTTTAATTCCTCATTTCTGAGGAAATAATGTGCAAATACACTTCACCTGGAGTTTTGTGAATACTTTCAGTGCATCAAACTCTGTACATGTCAGGACAAAAGCCCATCACACCAAACGAACATCAGCTGCTGCAGCCGGTTTAGAGAAGAGCGAACCACAAGCTTCCACAAGGAAACTTCCTTTGGCTTTAACCGTTTTTCTTTCTCACCCTCTTCAAGTCGATTTTGTCTCTTTTCTCATCTCAGAGGGACAAAGAAGTCTTATGATCACCCATATAGAGGTGCATCCCACACAAGGGGCAACCCGACATTTCACACTGTCTTCACTCATGGTTAAACACAGAGAAGGGAAAACACATCAAAGAAAAACCACCATCGCTCCCAACACCCAACGTTACCCTCGGCTCCTTCCCAAAGGAGGCGCTCCTTTTAACAATCAAACGGCCGCGCTGGGATTCCTCACATTCCTGAAGCTGAAAGGAGCACGGTGAAATGACTGAATCGGAGCAGAAGCTCTGTTATACAAATGGCAGACGAACATGTGTATGTGACATTGATGTCCCAACACCCAGCTCCACCGACTCTGCCCGGAGACAGTGTGGAGCAGCAGCAGAGGTGTGGGTAAATCGGGTGGATGCACGGCTCCCCTCTGTTTGTTTTAGTGGCTAAAACCTCAGCGTGGCTCCTTTTCTCTACCTGTGTGATTGCTTTTGACAGGAGGCCTGTTTCCCAGCACATCCCCGGGATCCAGTTTGGAGCCTCCAACCCTCCTGTCACAAAAACACACAAATATACACACACTACTATTCTACAGCCGCCACATACTGAAGGATAATCAGCCTTTCTTAGTGGGTTTTTCAACTTTGTCAATTCATTAGTGAGTCCTTTCACTGCTCGCTTGTGTGTGGCCCACTAAAGCCAACCTGACTCCTACAATAAGGCCAGACAGGCTTAAATCAAGACAGACGCTGTGTGTCACGCAGCCAGAAGTCTCTTCATAACAAATACTAAGCCTGTAGCCCCCCCACACACCCACCCCACACCCAGCCAGGGCACCAGGCTGCCCATCTCATAAAACAGCTTCCCAAGTGCAGCTCGGATCGCTTAATCTGAAGAAGTGGAATTATTTTTCCAACAAAGTTGCATTTACGTGTGAATCTTTAGGATCCATCTTAACTCAGTTTCATGTCCTGATCAACCAAGTCTGATAAAACTGTTATGGTGCAAAGTTTGAACATATTTAGTGCTGTGAAATTTTCACATAGAAAATCACTTTTTGTGTTTTCACACTGAGTGAAACACGAGTCAATGTTTGAACGTGGATACGTCAAAAAACCTGATATTTCCACTGGTCGGTCAAACCATCAAAATACGCACGCTGCGTAAAACATGAAGAAATAACAAATGTATTCAAGCTGTCTCATAAACTCATATCAGGGAGCACACCAATATCAAAAAGACTGTATATAAATATATTTCACAATAATTCAAAACTAGCCCGAATACTTTACAACTAGAATTTGTTAGTAACAAAATGAACAAAATGCGATTTTCATTCAACTTTAATGCTGATCGAGCAAATAAAAGTATCACAAAAACAAAAGTATCAGTAGAAAGTTTAGTTAACTATATGCACGTTTTGCCTCTCAGTATATTTTAACAGGAATTATCAGAGTCAATATGTCTCAAAATAGTAGGTCTAGAAAATAAAATTATTCACTTATTTAACAAAAGGATTTCCTCGGTTATCATCAGCGTATGATCTGGAAACTCCAGAATTTCCTTCCACTCAGGACAGACTTTCAGTTCAACATGAACGCTGAATGAAAATGGCTCTTTCCTGATTTTTGTGGCTAATTTCATGTTAGAAGGTTTTCTACGTGCTTTATTTTACAGCATTGTGAATTTCAGAAATCATCACTATTAGTCTTTTGCAGTTTGCTTGTTTGGGACTTTGCAGGTTTTGTTTCATGTTTAACTTACCGATACTATTGTTGATGTTTCTGTGGCAAATGACAGACTCTGAATCATTTAATGGTGACAGAGTTCCAGCTTTTGTCTTTAATATTCTGTTCATGTTCAATCGTTGCCTCCAGCCTATAAGTGGGTTGATCTTGAAAAGTCTTTGATATATGAAGTTACATTTCACAGCAATCATTATAAATGTTACACAAATCGGAGACGGTTGAGCAGAAGCTGAGGTCGGTGCGAACCATCAGATCCATCAGCAGAGTTTAGCACACATCGGTCTTTTCTTTCTCAGGGATGTGTGTGGATGTGTCTCGGTTTCGTTGGTGGGGCCTGTATAACAGTTTAGGTTATTGAGATCTTGGTTCTGCCTCTGTTTTGTGAACACACACCAGTAAAACCAGTGGCCTACCAGTTTGAGATTCCCTGCTTTTTCTTGCTGTGCTTCAGTTCATTTCATGGTGCTGTTATTTAAGATCGCTGCACAAATATCAGGTCTTTGATGAAAGTTGTTTTTCTTTTCCTCTCACATTTGGATGCTTTGTGTTTCATTAGCTCATTTTTAGGAATAACATCATGTCAACAGGATTTCAATAGCTGGGGTTATGAATTGTTGATCTCTTTTTAGTTGGTGGTAGTGCTGTGATGGAGACATCATTATTTAGTTATGAATAGACAGGCTTGTATCCCTTTGGCTTAAATGAGTTTCCTTTTGTGGCATATGCTAAGCTCCTTGGTTTTGGTGGTAAGGGGAAAATGAGGGGTCACTACCTCACAACCACCTCACAGAGACACAAACTCTTAGTCATGAGACCCGAGCAATGAGAAAGCTCTCACCCAATAAGGCACCCTGTAGGGAAAGCCCTGGCCCAATGAAAAGGTTCCCTGAGGTAAGGCTAGGGGATTACCATCCCAAGGCTATGGATAGAGCTCCAGGTTTAGGGAGGGGGACATTAGCTGAGGCGTAGGGCTGCTCGGTTGCTATGGCCGGCAGTCTCCTTTAAATGGTTGCTACGAGGCAGGTATCAAACATGCGAGAGTCGCACACAGTCACGGTCATGGAGGGTATTAAATGGCAACAATGAGACAGTTATTCTCTAATAATCCATCCTGCTGAGGGCAAGTTATTCTTCAGTAATCAAGAGCTGAGGAGCAAGTGGAATGGAGCTGTGATCATAAGAGCGTGGTGCACAGAGGTAGACTGCAGGGACATCTGCTCGCAAACACAAACTTTAGTTTTCAGTCGCTCATTCTGATAATTTAGCTGTCTCGCTACCCCCACGCTCAGAGAGACACTGTAGGGACGAGCTATCAGTCCACACCTCTGAATCTCTGAATCCAGGTGCTTTTAGTCCCACAGGTGTGGAAACTCCTGCTCGTGTAGTCTGCCCTTACAACGATTTGTGGCAGAATGCGTTACACTCACCTTCTGATATTTTATCAGAGCTTTCTGTCTTCAAACGCAGATTCTGTTAACCACAAAACAGAGAACATTAAAGTTACCTCAGGGAACACGAGGTTGCTGTGAAACTCTGTTTGATACCTTGACAGTAAAATCCCAGTCATGTGGCTCCATGCTGTGATGTTAGCACATTTACTCTACATGCAAAAGGCTGGTGGTGCAACGGATCAAAAGTCTCACGGTTTGGATCGGATCAATTTTCTGATCAGCAAAAAAGGAAAAAAGACAAAAGTTTAACATTTACTTACTGAAGTATTTTTTTGCCTGTTAAAAACATTCAACTCAAGACTCAATTATTAAAAAAAATTATGGTTCAATATAGGGCAGTACAGTCTTTGTATCTACCACTCAATTCAATTCAGTTTTATTTACACAGCACCAAATCACAACAACAGTCGCCTCAAGGCTCATTATATCGCTCTCCGCTGTGACATAATGAGCTGTCATGGTCACGTAGCTTTCCGTTGCCCTGGAGCTCCACCCTTTTGTAGTTGGGCAACAGAAGATGCCTGGGACAGTTCAGCCACAACTTAAATCTTTTCCTGCTCGTACATGCTTGGAACAATCTTGCCACTAAAGTGGACGCGTAGCGTGGCTCAAGCATCGTAGTTCAAACCCCTTGGTTTGTACAACAGAATACCTCCCGTCTGCAGCTAAACACCCCAACAGCTTCTGTAACAGCTTTAGCTCGGTCGGGCTGGGCAGCAAAGGGCTGCTTAAATACCACAAACTCCTCTGCTCCGCCACTTGGACCGCTAGCGCTGGCCATAACTACCGCTTGACAGATCCACCACGCGCACCATACACATACTTTTTTTCCTTCTTTTTTGAATCTTTGTGCGTGCCGTACCGTGGAGTGGGATCGGTTCGGATTACGGATCAACCGTGATCTGTTGCACCACTACAAAAGACCATTAATTCAAGAGTAAGAGCCACTAACCCAGCCTCAGGTGGTCACAAGCTGGTCATCTACTTATCTGTAGGTTGGAAGCTTGGCTGTTGGGGAAGATACTGAACCCCTGGTTGATCTACAATACACTAACTGCAGTGTGAAAGTGTGGCATAGGAAAAGAGGTGCTTGTATGAATGGGTGAAAGAGGCAAGTTGTATAAAGCGCTTACTCCAGTAGTGTAGAAAAGTGCTATATAAGAACCAGTCCATTTACCAGTTAGTCCCAGTGCTGGTCGCACGCCTGGATAAATGGGGAGGGTTACATCAGGAAGGGCTTTCGGCATTAAAGCTGTGCTAAAAACATGATTCAGGAATACATAGTGATTGCTCAGGAAATATGGGAGCAGCTGAACCAACATTCTTTCTTCTTGAACTTCCACAAAGTAATCTTTGGGTCTTGCTTCTTTTTCTGGACTTTTAGTCACCCTCCATCCAACCATCTGACACTGCCTGGCAACATTCTCCCCTGACATCACGTTGGGTTGCAGCGTCTGCATAAACCATAAAAAACGTAGACTAAAGATAGTCCATGGCATGTTCCTCTACTGCTTTATTCCTCTCTTCCCGTCACGTCCACTGAAGTCCATTCTCGTCACCTCTCTCTTATCTGGGCACGCTCTCTACCACTTCATCCAACTTCAGAATACCTCTTTCTCTTCTAACATTAACTTTGATCCCCAGCTTCAAACTCAACATCCTCTTCATCTGCACAACACTTTTCATATATTCTATTCCTCTTCCTATCTTCACTATGGTAGAATAGTTTGAATTCCCTCTTATGTCCCTGTGTTTCAAATTTCTACCCTCACATGTACTCTCATAATCTTCTTTCTCTCTCACGGCCTCAAAACATGCCTTCTCCTCTTCTTTCAACGCCTCCGTCTTCAGCCAACAGTAGCACCGTTTCCACCGGCACCATCCTGGCCAACAGCTGGCAGTCGTTGTTAACCTGGGCCACGCCCATTCCAGTACGGAGGTTTTGTTGATGATCTTCATGTTTAATCTGGCAAACATTTTATGTTGGTTGCCTTTCCCGATGCAGTCCTCTGCACTCATCCATGCTTGGTGCTGGCAGAATACTCTGGCTTGACGCTCTGGTTTGCCTTTTATTAAAGCAATGACAGATGTGGAGCGAGACGTAGCTTTTATTCGTAAATACTGAAACTGTGACTAACATGTATTAAATAAAAGTTGTGTATCGCCCTATACTGTATTCATATTATTATAAAGCTCTCCAATAGCCCGTTAGAGCACCACTAGTTAAGCATTAATTGCATATTAGCATAGGAATGACTCGGCAATGTCATACTGGGGAACAAAACACAAAACCACAAAAAAACAACTTTCAGTGTCTTTTTTTCAGTTTTTAAACTCTGTTTAATTTCATATGTGGAATAAAAAACTCAATAAATACATTCACCACTCCTTCATCATCTCCTTATGCGTCCTGTCTTCACTAGATCGATATGCTTGTGCGCTCTGGGCTCAGGCTTTCGTCGTGGTGCTGGTGTGCTGGATATCAGGTTTGAGTCTCCGTTCCAGCTCTTCACCTGTGGCTATGATACCTTTATTCGACTGTGGGACCTTCGACTCTGCCCAAGGTATGCCACCATTTTCCTCTTGCCAGGCTTGGTTTTAAAGTCAGTGTTTCTCTGGAGTTTGTTTCCTAAAAAGTGTTGCTGTATAAATGTAAATAAACACTGACTTCAGTGAATCATAACTTGGTTGAACTGGTTTGATTCCAGTTAGAGACACAGAGACACAAGTCAAACACGGAGTCTCGCTAGCAAAGCTTCGTCTTTGATGGCGCTTTAACAATGTTAAAAATGCCAGTTCGACTGGGTCAAAGCCAAAACTGCAGTTCTTGTGTAGTAATCCTGCCGTGGTGTGCATCTATCAGAACTGGTCCAAGGAACAAACAGTAGTGAACCAGCAACGGGGTCATTGACCACCAAGGCATATCGATGCATATGGGGACCAAAGATTGGTCCATTATGCATGAAGTGGTGACCGTGGATGTTCACAGTGTCCAGTGACTTATGACATCGTGATTGACCAAAACGAAAACCTAATTCAGCTGCAAATTGTTCTTCTTGGTGTTTTGTTTTGTTTTTGTTTTGCTCTGAGTCTGCATGGACTCTGAGTCTGCATAGACTCTGAGTCTGCATGGACTCTGAGTCTGCCTGGACTCTGAGTCTGCATGGGCTCTGAGTCTGCATGGCTCCTTCCACACTCCAAAGACATGAATGATGCTGTAGATGTGAGTGTGATGGTTGTCAGTCTCTACGTGTTGGCCCTGAGATACACTGGCGACCTCTCCAGAATTTCCTCTGCCTCTATGACAGCAGGCGCCACCCCTCCTCCCACAACCTTGAAGAGGATAAGCAGAAAAAAACAGGTTCTTGCAGTATGTGCATTACAAACTGCCATCAAAGTTGGAATGCTTGCATGAAGTTGGCACATTTTCTTTGAAGCAGGGGATGCTCTTGCAGAAAGGCAAACACGCCTCACGCCGACTCTCTCCGATCAGTGTAAAATCACAGAGCAGCGCTTCGTCCAGAGTGTGTCCTCATAAATCACGAGATACAAGCTGCTGGCCTCTCAGCTTCCTCAGCTGTAGTCATTGTCAATGGGAGATGAACATGCCCTCAGAGACACACCAGACTTTGCTATGAGATGAAATAAGCGCAGGTTTCAGCGACAATAGACGACTGCGGCCACAAGATGGCAGTAGTGTAAAAGCTGGATGCATATATTGACACGCGAGGGGCTTTATGACAGCGCTGTCTTAGATGATAAGAGAGATAACTTAATTTGGAACATTTTATATCTATTTTTAGGTTTTAAAAGGCAAACACTGCTTGCCTTGCTTGTCCTGACAGAACACCAGTATGACCAGTGCAGGCAGCTAACCAGCAATTCTGTATATAACGACATTATTTTGGATCAAAGGGGTTACAAGGAGTTTCAGTCTCTGTTTCTCAGGGATCAGTCAAGTAAGACAAATCTGATCTGATTGGCTGATCTCTCTAGGGACTATGAAAGGAGTTGGGTTTGGAGAATGGCTGGCACAGGAGGGGGTCCCTCTTTAGATATCAATAATTCATATGCACAAACCTGACAAGACTTAAAAGACTTCTGTGACCATGCTGAAGCTGCACTTTGTCGGAGGTTCAGCAGAAAATGCACTGTGATCAATCAAGAAATAAAACAAAAGAACAAAACTACTACACATTTCACATGATCCCACGGCGCTTATACGATCCAGTGTGGAATCAGTACCCTCAGTTACTAACAGTGCATACACTCACACGTCTGCATAAAGCATGCTGACCATGTGTGCCAACAAATGAAGGTCTGGTCGTTTTAAGAAAATTTACAATAACTATAATCATTATTATCACTCCTAATGTCAGTCCAAAGCCGGGGTGAACAGGGAGGTTTGGAGTGGCCTACAGACTTGGCTATATTAATATCATGTACCACGGTTCTTATATAGGGCTTATCTGTTCGATCTGAGCACTCAAAGCACATGCACAACATGCCTCATTCATAGAAGCATCCTATGCATTGGTGTTTGTATCTAACATTCATATACATTCACACTCTGATGGATGCCTTTGGGAATAACTTGGAGTTATCTTGCCCAAGAATATTTGGCATGCAGACTGGAGCAGCCAAGGATTGAACCACCAACCTTCCGATTAGTAGATGACCTGCTTTACCTCTTCTCCTGTGCTCCAGCCACCCCTACATCATATTGGTTTATGGACCATGACTAGTAAGGGAGGGAGCTGGTTGATTGTGTGTGCACAAGACCAGGTTCAGGAGACCAGGAAGAGCATGTGTGTAGATGAAGAGAGTGTTAGACAAGATCATTTAGTCGTGATGTTGAATGTTTTCAGTGTTGGATGTCAGAGAAGAAAGATAAACTGCAGTGAGCTGGTTCAAGTTGGTTCAAGTGGTAGAGGGGAGGGATTGGACGTTAATAGTTATGTAGGTGAAGAGGAGGTATTGGGTAGGAATGGTGTTATGGAGAGAGACACAGAAGGACAAATGGTGTGGATTTTGCAAACAGGATGAATATTGCTGGGATGAAGACATTTAAAATACAGGAAGTCCCCTCTGAAGGTCTCCTAGAAGATGTGAATGCAGCATTACGGACAATCCTCAGTCACCTCCTCTACGTGGATGACATCAAGCTGTTCGCCAGGAGTGAACGAGACATCGATTCACTGATCCACACCACCAGGATCTACAGCAAGGAATGCCAGTGGATTGGAGAAGTGTAGTCGGATGGTAACAAAGAGAGGGAAGGTAGTCAGAACTGAGGGGACCGAGCTACCAGAAGGCAACATTGCAGATATCGAAGACATCTACAAGTACCTGGGAATCCCCGTAGTCGGTATCCGTAGCCAGTCTTGACAATAATCTCATTGAGGGGGTTCATGCCTATGCTTGATGGTCCCCATAGCCACTTAAGGGCAACCTAGAATAGACACAGTCTCAATAAGTAAAGTTGCTGTGAGGAAATTTGACAAGCAAGACATGTAAAATAAAAAAAGAGCCTGTTTTTTACTCATTTGACAAAAATTCCAATCACCTGAAATTTATCTTTAGAATTATTCACCTGAAGATCATAAACTTTCAGGATATTTCACAGTGTGTGCTGCCTTCTGTCTGTATGGGGTCATAAGTCGTGGTGTGTGTCTGTCAAGTGCAGCGTAGAACTGGTTCCATAGCTTGATGTTTGTCACTCGCTAGAACTCCACACTTAACTGAGAAATCTTATTTTTTAAAGAGGAATTTCCCCATTTGTGTGCAGTCTACTTTTAAATGTTGTCCTATTAACATTTTTAAGAATGGGTGCTGAACCTTTGCAGCACTACCTGTATCTCAAAGCTGAAATGTATTTTTCAGCCTTCATTTATTCCAGTGAGTTCCATCAACCTTTTCAACATAGTGAACTATGTTGAAAAGGATGTGTTGTGATTAAAAAAGACAATTTTCTTCCAACCTACAAATTGTAGGTTACAAATATTTAATTGGGCTCATGGAGAGGAGACCAAAGTGCACCAACCTGGAAAAACGGTCAATTATGGTGAGGATGGTTGTGTTACCTGATGAAGGCGGGAGGCCAGTGACAAAGTCCAAGACAATGTGAGACCACGGCCTCTTTGGAGTAGGCAGAGGTCGAATCAGGCCAGCGGGACGAGTATTTGGCACCTTGTTTTGTGCACAAACCAAGCAGGCCGTCACATATTCATGTGTGTCTCTCACTAAAGAAGGCCAACAAAACAGATGCTGAAGAAACTGACGTGTGATTCTTACCTGGGTGGCAGGCAAATCTGGCTGCGTGTGCCCAGTGGATGACCTTGCCTCAGACACCCATGGGAACTTACAAACGGCCGGTGGGTCCGGTCCCCGAATTAGTTTCATTCTGTTGCGCCTCCCAAATCAGCTTCTCAATCTCCCAAGTGAGACTATGCATGCAGCGGGTAGGATGGGCTTCTCCTTCTCCCAGGCCTCCTGATGCAGCACAAACTGGTGTGAAAGAGGGTCTGGCTCGGTAATCCGAGATCCAGGCCTGTAGGTAGTAGTGAGGTTAAATCTGGCAAAAAACAGAGCCCATCTGGCCTGAAGGGCGTTCGGCTGCTTGCCGGTATGCCAGATTCTTGTAGTCAGTCCAGATTAACATGGGACCTTCACTTCCCTCCAGCCAATGTCGCCAGTAATCCAAAACCATCTTGATGGCCAGCAGCTCGCGATCACCCACGTCATTGTTTTGTTCAGCCTGTGAGAGACGACAAGAGAAAAAGGCGCAGGGATGCAATTTATCTTCCACTTGCTGGGAAAGGACCGCCCCCGCCTCAGTCAGAAGCGTCCACTTCCACCATGAAGAGTTTGTTGAGGTCCCCTTGAACCAGGATAGAAGTGGAGGAGAACAGCTGCCTATTGAGCAGAGGGAGACCACTGAAACGCTTCAGTGGTCAGGTTGTGTGAGGGATGTTACCACTGTGTCAAAGTCTCTGATAAACCGCCTGTAAAGGTTTGTGAATCTCTCAACCTCTGCAGCTACAGTGGGAAGCAAAAGTTTGGGCAGCCTTGTTAATAGTCATTATTTTCCTGTATAAATCGTTGTTACAATAAAACATGTCAGTTAAATATATCATATAGGAGACGCACACAGTGATATTTGAGAAGTGAAATCAAGTTTACTGGATTTACAGAAAGTGTGCAAGAATTGTTTAAACCTAATCAGGCAGGTGATAAATTTGGGCAATGTTGTCATTTTATTGATTCCAAAACCTTTAGAACTAATTGTTGGACCTCAAATTGGCTCGGTAACCTCAGTGACCCCTGACCTACATACACAGGTGAATCCAATAATGAGAAAGAGTATTTAAGGGGGTCAATTTAAGTTTCCCTCCTCTTTTAATTTTCTCTGAAGAGTAGCAACATGGGGGTC